ATTCATTTGTTTCTAAAAGTATGTCAGTAGGCAAAGAGCACATGAGACATTATAGATGCAATTGACAGAAAAACTTTGTATTTATTTTTGTTTATGTGAATTACTGGTGCAGCAGATGGCATCGTCAAATACCAGAGCATTTTGTGTTATGCAGACTGCAGAGTATAAATCTTGTATGCTGAAAGCTGATAGCTATTTTGGCAAATATTTTTTTTGTTTTTAATTCAATACTCACTGCATATAAGGCAGAATAAAAACTTGATTTTTCTTTCTTTTTTTTTTAAACCAGGTAAAATCCAATGGAGATCCAGATCTCATTTGGAAGAGGGCAGAAATCTGCAACACACAGCAACGTTATTATGCAAAAGCAAATCAAATTTAACCATATACGCAAGTTTGAAACAATTTTTTAAAAGCAATGCCATTGACTAATAAAATGATGTTGCTTGATTTTGAGAAGCGATCAAAATAACTCCAAGGAAATAAGATTGGACATCATGAATTCAGACTAGAGTTGACTCTATGCTACAGGAGCCATAGCGCTGAATTTTTGCATCCCTTTTCTCATGATTCCATCAATTTTGAGAACTTCTTCAGGTCCTGAAGCAGCTAAACAGCCCCAGACCATCACACTACCATCATGTTTAATGTTCTTTATTTAAAACATTATAATCGTATGCTTAATGTGACAGGACACAGAGTTCCAGTATTGCTCTTCAGTCCACAGAATATTGTTCAAATAACTCTTACAGATCACCAATATGGTACTGTATTTGGCAAATGTGAGATGGGCTTTGTATTGTTTTTAGCCAGTCGAGGTTTCTACGTTTGAGATCTACCACGGGTGTCATTTTTGCCAAATTTTTTTCTAGTTGTTGAATGGCAGATTCTCATTTTCTCATGTAGGCAATGAGGCCTATATAGCTCCACAGTCACCCCTGGGAAGGTTACATTACTGTTACAAGTTTTCTTTAGTTGTGCATAATGATTCGCTGGAGTCTTTACAAAGTGCAGTACTAATAAACATGACTCTAGGAATGGCTTCTATGATAGCAAGGAAATACAAAGGATATTTCAGTGCAAATAATAGTCACAGTTTGGAAAACCTATTCTGAAGTGTTTGTGGTTGTTCTTATGCATTTAAGATGCCCTTTCATTAAATGCGTATCTAAACATACCTGCAAGAAATAATAGCAAAAACCAATGACTGTGCTCTCAAGCTGAACGACAAGTTTATACACACTTAAGGTCCAGGTTTGTGAGCGCATTTTGAAACGTGCCATTCCTGGTTCAGTTATGGAAACACATCCATCTCTGTCTGCTCTCTCTCTTTGTCTGTCCACTTCATATTTATTCTGCTCTGTGTGGATCTAAAATCCACAGGATCAGGTCAGGAGCAACTACAGGCCACCAGAGGATCAGGGTAGTGATGATGGATGATAGCAGTGCTTGTGAGTGGGTGGGTGCATACACATTTAGTAGGACTCTCTATGCATTAAAGTGACACTCCCCCCCCCCCCCCTGCTGTGAGGGATGATAATGGATGGTGGGGAATGAGGTTAGGCTCTTGCCTGCCTTACATGCATGTCCACATAGAAAATCCCTGTAAAACCTCACAGCAGATCTGGAACAGAGGAGGCTAAGGCTCTATTACCAAATCAGTTAACTCCAAACGCTTTAAAACCATTTGGCTCCATCACCAAATGCATCAAATGGACCGTCATCAGCAGGCGATGCAATACACACCAGGGAATAGACAACAAGGGTGTGTTCATGTGCTTACTGCTCCTCCCCCCATGCGTTTCCTTAACTGTGACACTAGAAACCTCTTTTGCTTCATCTAACATAAACATATCCACAAAATAAAAATGCACATGTTCAGACGCACACTCAGTCTGAATTACTTAGTTAGCGCAGGCTTCTCCTGCAAGCGGGGAATTGTTTCACAGCTGAACAATGGTGTCACCTGATCAAAGGAGTTACGCTTTATGTGACACTCCTGATGATTCTTCATCAAGACATACCCACTATTTGAAGATACAAATCAGTGTTTCAGAGAAAGAATGCCTCGTGCATTTCAATAATACAGTTCTCAATTAAATGTCCATTGAATGTTGTCATGCCCAGTGAGGTCGGAATAAATAAATAGCTTAGGTTTTGATTGTGTTCCAGCTGTGCAGTCACCTCCCCGTAGGCTATCAGGTTGCTGAAGAGCACAGCTATGCTGAAGAGCACAGCTATGTTTGTGTCCGTGTGTATGTACATTTTTCTGGCAGCAAGCGGATGGATGACAGCCATCCTGACATTCTCAGCATCGGCACAAATCTTTAGATATCTAGCTGAGCCTGGTCAGCCTTGTCTCTTTGAGCATAAAAACAATAGGCTTTTGGTTATTTTCTCTCTAAAAATAAAGTTCCTCTTGTAGACAATGTGCTTTTGGTCTGTTTAGTGGTGAAGTGTGTATAGGAGAGGCAGGAGACAAAGACTGATGTCTTTGTATTGGCTGCTTATCTCTGATTTGACTAAACTCCCAAAGTTTCAGAGATAAGCAAGGCTACATTCCAGAAAAAAAATAAATAAATCACCTACTCAAGATTTTTTAACATAGGAACGTAGCGTTTATTGATGGCTAGCAGTAAATGTACTGTAAATTACATAAGATCCAATTAATATTTAAAGGCAGCTTTCAATTCAACATTTTCTACCCTTCTTTTTGTCTGCCGTCTTTTATTAGAAACGCAGCATCACACAACGTGTGATGGAGCTGTCACTGTCAAACACAGTTTCATGAATGTCTTTGAACAGAACAGTTCAAAATCAGTTCAAAATGTAAGCTGTCCTTAACTTATGTTAGAAATGAGCAGAAGCTTTAATCACTACAACATCAGTATCTGGATATATGTACAGATATAAAGTATAGAGAGTATTAGTCCTTCCCTTAGCTCTGACATCTTGTAATGACAGAACATTGTGGATTTCCAAATCCCCAATATTCTATGACATAGAGAGCTTGAAAACAATAAAATAAGTCAGCCTGAAGATTTGATAAATGTAAATCCTATTAAATCTCATTCCAACACTAAAGAATGTTGTTGTAAGTACAATTTAGTAGTGCTTACATATGATGCGATCATGGAGCACAAGAAGATACGACTTTTTCAAAATCCTTAGCAGAGTAGGATCAGTCCAGCTGATTATAAACAAAGTTAAAGAAAGAAAAATAATTCAGTCAGTAAAATACATTTACACAACATTGAAGATGTCTATGTAATTTAAGTAGCCATTTAAGCATTTGTGTAAATGTAAAAATAAAAAAAAATAAAAAACAGGCTTTGCAATTTGTAGTACCTACTGGTCAGCAGGTGACACCTGCCAAACAATGACACTGCAAACTAAAAGCAAATTGAAAACAATCTGAACTTAAATGTTTTACTGAACAAGCCTGACCTATATGAACTCATACACCCTATGTTAGCATCCAGTGTCTCACAGGGTGTCCTTATCCAGTTTCAACAGTAAAAGAAATAAGGTTTTCACTCTCTTTTATTCTTTGCACCAACATGCATTAAAGTTTAAATGGAACAGTGGCACTTTGTGACATCAGTGCCCAGGGCACTGCATAAATCAATGCTGCTTAAGCAAACTTCGGTTCAATTATAGATAGTTCAATGTATAACTTCAGGCAAAGACACCATGTGGCCATGACATTACAACCACTGACAGATAAAGGGAGCAACACTGATCTTCTTATTGTAGAGCAATGTACTCCAAATGGAAGATGCCTCGATATTTTAAAAAATTAAATGGGGTAATGGGTCAGAACGATTTTGATATAAGAAGGAGAAGCTGGAAATCATGAACGTATACCAACTTGTGTATTACACTAGTGTATTTTTGACTGATTTTCCAAAATAGACACAGATAGAAAACATATGCAGCAAAACAGAGATGTTCCAACACACATTATTGTTCTTGAGGAGAAAAAAAATAAGCTTTGATTAGACTTCACTTAAGTTTGCTAGCCTGCAATAAAAAACCAACCAGCCATGCAAAGGATAGACGGAGTAGAGAGGGAAACAAAGAGGGCAAACAGCGCAGATGTGTTAAAGTAAAGTTAAAGCACAAGAATGCTAAATTGTGTGTCTTTGCTCCTTTAAGCTAAAAGGAGGTCGGAGAAGACAAACCCTGGACTTACATAGAAGCACACATTTCAAGCTGAGGCAGCAAAACACATGACCTCATCACTTATTCATCAAAGTTGCAAGGATTCTGTGTTTGATTTGCAAGATTTTGTAACTAGTGAGTATGATTACATAGTCTCTTTTCTTGCTTTTTAAGAAACAGAAATGAAAACATACTTTACTCAAGATGGAACTATTGTAGGACAGTACAAGTCAATTGTATTTTCATTTAGGGCTAATAAAGAAAAACTAAATCAACATCATTGCTTAATTAATTTGTTAAATGTAATAATTATAGAACAAAGCGCATGAAAAAGCATTGTCATAAAGTGGCAATTGTAATTTAGTCATTTTGAAACGGTGGAAAAGGAACAGAAACACCAAAGATGAGGAATAAAAATGCTTCTAGTTAAATTGAATATTAGTCCCAAAATGCATTATTCCTGGATCCAGGACCCAACTACATATATGTACAGTGGAAGAAAACTATTTTACCAGCAGCTCCTAAATAAATATCACAAAATCCTTTCTATGCTCCACTTTTTCACAGTTTAAAAATGCATAACATAGCAAAGATAGAAGAAATCACGTAAAGTTTTTTTTTTTTTAAATTGACAAAAATTCCTAATCTAAACAGCAAGGACCGTGTCAACAACTTTAAGTGTCGGCAGTGCTGTGAATGCCTGAATAAACAGGCAGCTCTGTTTGTGCGGATCTTCTGACGTGAGGCTTTCACGGGCACAACTCACAAGTCCGATCCGAACAAAGTCTGCCAGAGAACTGTCCGGCCGAGATGCTCCGCAAACTGAGCGCTCTTACCGTCCACAGCCATGGTCGGTCTCAGCGTGTATCTCTCCGTGGTGTCAACAGGACTCCCTCATCCTCCCGGAGAGATGAAAAAAAAAAAGTAGGTTACTGACGGAGAGGACGAAGCGCCTTTTAACCCGCTACGTGGGCATTGGAGGAAGCGCTTCATGCAGCCGCGCTGAGGATAAAGGAAACGCGCCTCACGCCGCCGCTCTTCGTCGGCTCACGGCCATTTATTTGTCCGGGACGTCGGGACCAGTCCGACACACACGAGGCTGCTCCTCCCGTGTCTCCGCCCCCTCTCCCGTACCTGACCGCCGGGAGACAAAAAGGTCATCACGCCCCGACGGCAGCTGTTCGTGGGCGCACAGGAGACACGGCGACCCGTCTGTTCCTGGCGCAGGAGACAAACACGCATTTGAATGAAACCACTAATTGCTTTTAAGTGGCACCTGTCGGTTTGTTCCACTGGGTCAGTTGTTTACTGAAAATCTACCAGAAAAAAAAAGGATGAAAAACATGTCAATTATTGTTACTTTGTAGAGTATTGTCAATTAATCTATAAAAAGAAGTTCATTAAAAAAAACTAGCAATTAATGTAAACTACAGATTTTTTGCAGGTGTACTTCTTAGTTTTGATCACCAAATATTTTATTTTTGTTAGAGTTCTTGTCTGAAATATGCCTATGTTCGTTCAATTACAAAGTCCCATTGAGAGCAGAGAGGTATGAGGGTGATCTGACCAAGATTTCCCTTTTAATCTAACTGAAGTCATTGCCAGTCTGGAGGATGATTATCCAAAAGTTGGAGCCACAATTTAGGTGTGACTGACAATAGCAAAGTCCCCATAAGTCAAACTGGGTTCTTGTCAAATAATAGAAAAATAACGACAATTGCAATAATAGTGAGAATGCCAAAGAGAAATGGCTGGATAAATCTCATTATGTAAAAGCTTGTGATGTAATTCTGAATTAATTTTAAAAATAGATTTTCTTTCAAATACCTGCAACAAGTTTATTTTTCTTCTTTTCCCTCAAGGGAAGCAGAATATAAACTGTCACGATTCCTTGTTTCCTTTGTTCTTTTTGCAATGATTTATGCTGCTCCTCTGCTGATAGCCTCTCCTTTACCTGCTGATTAACTTATTGCTCTTGCCTGCGCCTTTGTTCGTCCTCCTGCTGCTTAGTGCTGGCTCTCACCTGTGCTGCTAGCTAAGGAAACTCCTGCTCTGCTCTCCTGATTTCGTACCTGACCTGTTTTCTGCTTCCTGACCACTGCCTCTGCTTCTCTGAGTTACTCTGATTTTGGCTCTGAGCCTCGATTTATGTCCCTGGACCTTGATTACTGATTCTGCATCTGTTTTGCTTTTGCACCTAACCCCATTCCTTCTTGCACATTCATACAGTTTCTGTTAATAAAAACTGTTCGACTCTTTCTGTGATGCCGTTTGTGTTTTGGGTCCAAACCTACTGATTCCATTGCAACATACAATACAAGTTGGCAAAAGTATCAGACAGTCAAACAATTTTCTACAATTTGAACTTTAATGACCATTTTAAGCTGTTTTGTTGCCTACGTTCAGTCTGAAAAACATTTTCAGGAAACTATTTTCAATCATTGAACAACCTTTTTTATAGTTGCTTTTAAAACATATGAAATCTGGTATTATTTTTCCTATGAGAACTGTTATTTTTTTTATACAGATTGACAATCTCACCCAACTGCAACATTGGTGGGTCAAGAATGGATCTGATTGAGCTGCAAACCACAGCGATCTAACCTTACATGACCTTGTTTTGTTATTGCATTTTCGTTTGTGTGCAGAAAATGAAGGCATCCACTATTATATCTAAATCTTTGAAAAATTCAACCTGAAATTTTGTTTCAACTCCTTTAACATCCAAAACACCTGTGGTTCTGTGAAATACATTCTTAAGAAATTGTTGTTGACACTTCTGGTTTACATAAATCCAACATATATACCTACCTCCACACTCTTTCCATTATTGGATGATGGATTCAACAGAGCTCAGTGAAATGTTCATGGTCTTTATAAGCAAACAATGCATTAAACTTTTAGTTTCATCAGGTCTTCAGGTTTCTGTTTGTTAAATAATGTACTCTGACAAGTCTCTGAGGCTTTTACAGAACAGTTGTATGAATAGTGGGACTAAATTACAAAGAGGTGAATTCCATTTACTATTTGGGTGACTTCTGCAAACACTTGGTTCCACTGTGGTCTCTCACATAAAATCCAAACAAAATACTTTTTTTTTTTTTCACAATAATTGGCAATATAGACTTCCATGGAAGAATAATAACAATAACAGGAATAATGATAATAAAAAAAACCCCAGAGATTACTTTTGAAACATCATATATACTTTGTATTTCTACCTTTGGGACTAAAGTTAAGGCAGGTGCTTTATGCAACCAAAATGTACTTTCTATAAAAGACTCAGGGATTTGTTTTAGTGTCTATGGAGAAAGATGAGCGCCACCCAATACATCAATGTGACTCTAAATGTGATTTAGTGATTTTTTTTTTTTAAAGTGAAGAAACGGCTGAGAGGAAATCCACTAGCAGATAAACCTAAAAATGAAGCTGTGTCTCAATGGAAACTCAAGACAGGCATCAAAAGGCATGGGTTAACATGAAAAAAAAAAAGACGCCATCAAGCTGTGAATGTGGCTTTGTCAGAATAATCTCAAATCATTGCAGCTAATTCAGTATGCATTTGCAGGAGTGGATACATACTCCTCTGCACCAATGGTTTCCATCTTCTTTTTTTTTTTGCAGAACACCGATGCGACTCTGAAGAATTACGTAAAAAGATGCGCACCCTCCCCAAAGCCCTGGAACTTGATCATCAAAGGGGAACAAAGCACCGGCTGGTCTATCAGGGCTTCACTAGAGGCCCTGCTGATTGGGAGGAAAGAGGACTGCACTCTCACAAGTGCACACTCATACACATTTATACATGACTTTAAAAATGCATGTTAAGACCGACACACATTTGCATGCCCTCCCTTGTCGCCACAGACAAAGCTTAATTTAGAAGTCTGACTCTGGGTGCCTGTAACGACATTTTGTCGTATAAAAAATTGAGGAGAAAAAGCCTGAATCTTTAATTTAGATGGTGGTCAGTGGGGTGAATGATGAATAGAATGGGACCTGTAGAGATAAAGGGACTTGCCAAGCTCTGGCTTATAGTTTGAAGTTACACAGGCGCAATGGGTTTACAAGCAAATCCTGTGAAAAGAAATGTACAAAGGCGTAATGGAGAGCAGGGTATGACAAATTTTATTATTACATTCATTCCTTGCTAGTGAAATATGCATTATTTCTTCTGTAGGTTTTCATTGAATAACAAGCATAATGTGTGAATAGTATTACACAGTGTTGATCTCTCGCCACAACATTACATTTCTGTAAAATTTTCAGGTAAAAACATTGTTAGAATTAATAAACAAACTTGGTCTGTTGCCATAGGGTTATTTAAATAGGCCTGGAAAGGTGCAAAACAATTGTGATGGTGATGAATGGGAAATTTAGTTCACAATAATATCCTGGAACCCACACACAATCTGATTTAAGATATGAAAGGCTGGCTGATCCAGAGAAGGTCCTGTGGGCTCGCCCCATCCTCCTCATCTCTCTTTGAGTCTGTGGATCGTAGATTTGTAAGACTCAGATTCCACCATAGCGTCTGTCCATTCCTGCGTGTTCAGCACCAGAGCTGATTTCTGCTGTTTTAAATTAATCCTGGAAACTGGAACAAGACTGACCATAATAAGAAGTTTGTTTTTTCTTTTTTTTTTTTTTTGTCTGTATTCATCATTTGGGATCTGTGAAACATGTGCCTGATGAACAACTCAAGAAATTTACATTTTGTCTACATTTCGTTGCTTGTACATGCGACAGTGCAATGACAATAAAGTTGAATTCTATTCTATTCTAATAGGAATATGAAAATATCTGAGCATGATGTTGTGTAAACTTCCCTCTTGCATTTCTAATATGTTTTCCACTGTGCCAAGATCCCCAGCCCCTTTTCTTGTCTTACATTACATGTGTTTACATATCTTCATTTGAACTAGTTTACATAAATTCAACATACATTTTGCCCTCCGAGAAATTTGAGTAATTTCCCTTTTTTCCCCTCCAACAATATCTCTGATCAGTCATTACATGGACAAAAACACATTTGTAGTCCCGTTTAGGTGTCTAATAATTGGATTTTTGCAGTAAAACTATTTAACGTGACTGAACTCTTCTCCTGAAAACTTGGTGAGATTAATTTTTTCATCTGTACTTGCATCCTAAGGTCTGTGAGGAAAAACCTCCACATCTTCTATGTGCACCTGCAGGGACGGTGGGTGTGTGCACCCACCCACTCAAGTGGGTGTTCAGCACCAAATTCTGCCAGAACAGAAGAAAAAAGGGAAACTCCAAAACTGTTTTTTTTTTTGTTTGTTTATATAAAATACTGTCAGTAGAAATCTGCTTTTGTCTCAGTGACAATAATATATCTCTCAGGCGCAACATATGTACAAAAACTGCATTGGCTTGCTTATTGTTCCCATGTTTCTTTTTAGTTCGTTTCTTCTTCTTTCACATAGAAAGCATCCCTGGCTCAGTGACTCTGTGTTTATTTATTTTCTCAATGAAGACAGTGATGAAGCTTTCTCTGTCATTAACTGTGTTCTATGTTCACTGCTCTTTCTCACAGAATGTACTGCTGACTCATTACATCATCAGAGAACTGTGCCACACTCCTAAATGGAAAAAAGTTAAAACAGCTGTTGCTGCGCTCAATATTTCTTTTTCGTCAAAATGTTTTCCTTTAGAATAGAAGGTACTCGACTATGCTTCTGTGTTTAAAAGTTGGAGAAAGGTATTATTTAAGCTATTTATTCAAGGGTGGAATTATCTAATTTTAAGGCACAGAGTGCAATTTTATAATAAAATCAATGTAACTATGTTACCTTCAGTTGTTCACATAAGAGTGCTGTATATATCATTTAAAGAAATCTAACTTTGTAATTTGATGCCTTGAAACTAGGCTTCTTTCTCTTTTAGAAGCTCCTGCTCTTTCCGTCACTTTGCCTTCAGCACGTCCTCACAACAGTGCTTCTCATTAAAACATGCATGAAAGAATCAAAGAAAAACTCAAGTATCTTTTTGAAGACAGAATAACATTATAATATGAATTAATTTTCAAAAAGTCAATTTTACATAATACTGAGCCCTTTCCCCCCTACCTTTAATTATGTCTAGTCCTAGAAACCTCCTTAAACGTACAGTTTCTGTGTTTGGCTTTGTCTCTTTGATCAAGAAATTCATTAATCTACAAACTTAGGTCCTCTCTT